GAGGGTGGGGTTGGTAACAGGAAGTTCCACTCCCTGCCACGACGGTACAGTAGACACTCAACCGCGCGACGATCGAACAGTGGTCTGTGGAATCGTCTGGTCACAAATGTCTTTGGTCCGGAAGATGAATATTACTTTGATGATGATGCTGAGAGTGTTGGTGGTGCCATATTTTACACCGATTCTGTTAATGGTTCAAACTATGAATTGTCTGGAGAAGTGAGTTCACAAAACGAATCAACAAAACTTCATAATATTTAAAAGCAACGTTCTCAAGTCGCGACAAAGATAAAAACGCTTTAAGGATTAATATTAGTTTTAAAAATATTGATAAACAGTTTCTTTCAATGATAAGGTCATTTTTATAATCAATTATGGTTTTCGATTTTTACTTTCAAAAAGGATTTATAATAGGTAGTTTAACTTAATATTATATACTAATCATATCCTGTTAATATTTCAAATTAGTAGAGGAAAAACTCAAAAATCAGTAAAATCCATTAAAATTAAATTTGGAATTTGAAGTTAGGTTTGAATTTATCTTCTTTATTTTCGTTTTGAACGAAGATTACATAGCTATAATTTTCCAAGTGTAGCAAATTTACATAATGGGAATGAATAACTTCCATTTTTGTTAGGTAATCTATTATCACAATCTTTTTTGTGTGACGACTAAATTAATTTTATGAAAAATTTTAAAACAAATTTTTTCTAATCACTTTTAATGAAATGACTAATAACACAAATTGTTTGTTTTTTCATTCATAGGGCGAATACATAAAGCATCCCGTTCTGTACGAACTCAGTCACAAATATGGTTTCACAGAGAATCTGCCCGAGAGCTGTATGTCCATACGGCTGGAGGAGATCAAGGAGGCCATTCGGCGCGAGATCCGCAAGGAGCTGAAGATCAAGGAGGGCGCCGAGAAGCTCCGCGAGGTGGCCAAGGATCGACGATCCCTGAGCGATGTGGCCGTTCTTGTCAAGAAGAGTAAAAGCAAACTGGCCGAGCTCAAGTCGGAGTTGCAGGAGCTCGAGAGTCAAATCCTCCTGACATCGGCCAACACCGCCGTGAACAGCAATGGACAAGGTAAGTCCATACCAATTTCTCATTGAAATTGAATAAGTCTTTCCTAGCGCTGTCTCGCTTTTTGTTTCGAAAATCCATTAACAGCCAAACTTTCGAAAAGGCAATTATAAACTGTTGCAATTATACGAAAACAAAAGTTGAGCATATTTTCATGCAACAAGTTTTGTGGGCAACTTTAACGAGACAAGTGTATTCCCAATAAAAAGGAAGGGCGTACAAGGGGGCGGGGCCACTAACGAAGCTATAACCAAAACAAACTACAAAGAAAAGTTTTCGAAGTGCAATGAAGTTGAAATACTGTTTTCGGCTAGAAGATAAAGTTAAGGTCATGTGGCGAAGTTTGTTAACTAATTAAATTTCAAGTTGGTTACAAATTGTAATTTCATCAGCCTAACTAATTGGTAAACAAATCAAATAAATTTATTTTTAATCAATGAGGTTTAGAATTTAAATTAAGGATTGGTTTCATTTAAAATTTAGTTAAACTTAACTATCACTTTTTTATACATAACAATCGTACAATGACAATGAAAAATAACTTACCAAAACAAATAAAAAACCTAAAAATGAAAGTACCCCCTTCCGAAAAAGACTAAGATCAAATGGACACGAATGCTGAAATTGTTCAGGGCTTTGAGAATGGTTAAGCCCGTCTTTAACGAGTCTTTGTCACGCACTTGCTTTTACCACACTTTTCTTGGCCCATCACTTAATGCTCCACGGTGACAAAAAAACATTGTGTTGGGTGTGAAAGATCTGATTATCGTTTTATATATGCCCTCGAATCTTTAACAAAACACTTTGTGATAGAGTCGGCGACAAACCGAAATGTTTTCTTCATTTTCTTTTATTTTTTATCTGAGCTATTGACACAACTGGCATGAAATGTGCTACGTTTGTTTACATTTTCGAATGGAGGGGAGACAGTGCTCTGGCATTCCATTTATCTGCTTCCGTGTTTGGCCAATCCCCCAACAGAAGCATTTGACCCAGAAGAACCATCCACTGCTGCATTGTGTGGCGCCAAAGTCGACTTTCCATATGTCAAGCGATTGACATGTTTGGCAGCTGTCAAAGAATGCTGCACAAATGCCGATTCTCTTTGAATAGATAGTTGGTTCATATATATCTAAACAAACGAATGTGTGTTTTAGTTAGTGCTAAACGAAAGGTCTATAGCAAAGCAAACAAACCGAGGAAATTAAAAATACAAGTTTTCGAGCGATTTATTTGGTACTTTATTGATCAACGGTGGTGTTGGCTTGAATCTTTTTTTAATGTATTTTATTTTTGTAAAGGAATTAACTGAAAGTAGCAACAAAAACGGAAACGCCTGGGCTAATGTTTATTATCGAAAAAAAAACATTATCTTCCAAAAAAAAAAAATTAAAACATCCGAATATTGAGAAATAAACCCTGATAAAAAAAAACCTACATCGCCGTTTAAATTATTCATTCATTACAATTAAAGACCGCAATTGAATGTTTCTTTGATTTTTAAATAATTTTAAATTTATATTGGTAACGAAAAGTTGATTTAATAGTTCTTCTTTAAGTGTATTTTTTTGTTTTTATTTAAATTTAAAGGGTACTTCAAAAAGTATTTCCTTTTTAAAATAAAAAAATTTAAAATATTAATGTTTTAATGTTTTCCATTTTTTGCAGAATCGATTACATCCGGCATTGATCCCAATGGCGGTTTTTTGGTGAGCGGAGCGATTGGCGGAATGGGCGGCGGAAATGCGACTCTCGAGGGGGGCGGACCGGCTACCGCCAATGACAAAGTGCTCGCCTCTCTGGAGAAGCAGCTGCAGATCGAGATGAAGGTGAAGACCGGGGCGGAGAACATGATCCAGTCGCTGGGCATCGGATGCGACAAGAAGCTGCTGGCGGAGGCCCATCAGATGTTGGCCGATTCGAAGGCCAAGATTGAGTTTTTGCGCCTGCGCATCATCAAGGTGAAACAGAATCGCGAGCAGGCCGATCGCCTGAAGGCCTCGCGGCAAATGATCGACGAGCACGGCCAGACGATCGGTGGGAACAACAGCAGCCAGCCGCAGAGCCTGGAAACGACGCTGGAGGAGCGGATCGAGGAGCTGCGCCATCGGCTGCGGATCGAGGCAGCCGTCGTCGATGGAGCCAAGAATGTTATCCGCACGCTGCAGACGGCGAATCGAGCACCGGACAAGAAGGCCCTGCAAGAGGTGAGTCCCACTTGAAGTTTAATATTTTGGGTTGTTACATGAATAAGAAAATCTATACGAAGTCCCGAGGTTAAATCAAAAGTCTGTCGGCATTTTATTATTTCACCATAGTATTGAAACAATATTGCGACTTAAAAAATTAATTTTTTTTTTTCAAACATTTATCTAGTTTCAAATAAAAACTATTTAAATTACCCTAGTGTTAATTTATTTAGAGAATTTGAAATTGTGCAGATCTCAGAGTTAATTAGAGCTGGCTGGTGGCCAGGTATGCGTAAAACCCAGCAAGTATTTCCCCCGTTTAGCTGAACTCAGGTGTACCTGCTGCCATATGGCCACACGTCGTATGATTCATATTTGATACACCCGTGCGTATACGTGATTTTTGACCGACTTCAGGCAACGGCATGTGAAATGGGAAGCGGGAAGAAGAAATAGCTAATTATGCGGCTGCTTGAAATATTTTTCAACGCTCTCCTTTCGTCTGATTTCGTTTTAATTTTAAGCTTTTTTTTTTAACTAAATGTCGCCTCGTTAATTAAATGGACGTGGAACGTCGCCATTACTTGAGCCTAAGAAAAATGATTTGGCAAGTGTGCTCAGGGCCTGCCCTAATAATTTTGGCATTAGCTTTTTAGTTTATTTTGAAATTTTTGAGTTAATAGCCATCGCCAACAGAAAAATTGTCCCAAAATATACGCAAAATAAGAATTTCACAATGCATTACCAGTGTAGCTATATGCGCATGAGAAGATATTCATTTTTTTCTGTTGGTATTTCCCAATGCCTGCGTTTCCTGTCGCGTGGCAACTTGCTTTTTTTCTCTTTGTGATTTATCTTTTCACTGATGCTCATGCGGTTTTGTCTTCGGATTCAACATAAAACGTATACGTACAGACACTTAACTTCCGCACCAGCTACTACAACAATATGTTGTCCGGGCTGTGGCCTAAATATTCTATTTGCAGGCCCCATTCTCATATTTATTTGTTCTGCGTTGCGGTTGCATCTGTCAGATGCAGAAATAAGAAAGTTTTAAGAAGCAATGCGTTGCATAGCCATATAACAAATTACTATTTAACGAGGTAGTGAAAGATAGCGGAAATTAAATCAGCAAAACAGAATAACTGCTTATTTCACTTGAATATCAATTCGTTAAAGAATTTAAAAATATTTTGAGAAATCTAAAAAAAAAACTTTTTGTTCTGCGTTTTTGAGGGTTTGATCAATTTTCTTGTACAATTTATTATACTCGTATTCTGGATTTTGTATAAGTTATTATTATTAAAAGACAATAATAATTATAAGCTCCCCTAAATTTTTTTTTAGTTTTGAACGCATAGTATGTCTTGTACCTTTTCTTTTTTTGGTGTGCATCCAAATATCGCAGAAGTTATTATACGATCGGCTAAACAATAAACACAAAACTTTTTCCGCTGCCCTTTTGGCCATTTGGAAGCGTTTTGCTAAACATTTTTAGAACTATGCTGCCCGCTGGCACACAAACATTAGATATATAAACACGTCTATATGTCTGTGCCTCTGCTTGATCGGGCAAAAACGAGAATCGTATAAAACCATCATAAGGAACGGAGCGCAAAGTTCTATGGCCAGCATATGGGGAAATTTGTTGTTAGCCGCCGTTTTGTTGATACATATGTATGTTTGTTCGCTTCTCTAGCGAATTTTCCCAAGCAGGTTTTCCTCGACGTTCAGTGCGAGTTGGATTGCCGTTGGCTACGTGCGACGCCGCTTGGTGTTTCCCGATATTTTATAATTTTTTTAATTACCGCGTCTTTCGTCGCGTTCGTGTTCCTTTGTTTGCTTGTGTCTAAAACTCTCTGCATGTGTAATGAAATAATACTATAATGAAATAATAATAATAATAATAATCGGAGTAAACTCATGAAAAGCACGCACACACACTATATAACTCGAATCGAATGTCTGAGCTTGGCATTAGTTCTTCCACGTTACGCATACGCAGCGTGCGCTTCAGGTTTTCTCCGCTTATCCACCTGAAATTGCGTAATTTCCCGTTTGGATTGTCCGTTCTTCTCTCAATTTCCCAGATTTGGCTTTTGGGGTCATCTTGCAATTTTAGCGTAACGAAAAAAAATCATGTTAAAAATAAAATCACATAAATTTAGAAACACAAATTTTACAAAAGCTAAGAAAAACCGAAAGTGTTTTCGTTCCACCCCATCTCTTTACCCCTGCGTATATAATGTGTGTGCGTTGGCTGAATGAAGCTAAAAATACGTGAAAACAAAAAAGCAAATTAATATAGTTGAAACTGCCTGTGAAGAATGTTTCGGTTAACTAAAAAAATATTTAATTGAAAAAAAGACAAAGTTTAAAACTATAAAGAAAATTACTCGAATCTGGGAGATCTTAGTGTGAAATCCAGTGTCATATAAACATTTAAAAGAATTCCTTGACTTTGTTTAAAATATAAAAATTCAAAGGAAAAGTTCAAAATAATTATAAACAACCTGTGGAGATGTTACCACAAATTGTTGATATATAATTACCTTTAAATAGTTAAGATTCCATTGGCATTTTCAACCGAAATCGTTGGCTTACAATAAAAATGTTTGAATTCTGTTCGACAATAGAAACCATCAAGACGTTTTCTCGATATTTTTAGCAAGAATATAAAGTTCGTGTGTGACGTATATTAAGATATATGTAGTATATATAGTGCGTGAGTGTATTTATGTGAATATATTGATGGCACCTTGAGCCACACCTAACCACAGCCAAAATGTGTGCATGCTGCGATCGCAAAATAAGTGCGTAGGGAGTCATGAGCACGCCCACGCCCACTCCGGGGGCGGTTCTGGGCCAACAGGTTCCACTGCCCCATGAATTGACCGCCGAGTGGACGGTGCGAGCACATCTCACTTTTGCCCGAGCTGGTGAGCCGGTGCATAAGGAGTTTAGTGCTCCGGAGGCTGTGCATCCAATGCGCGTAGTCTACAAGTGGTGCACGCCATGCGAGGAACCCGAAACCGAGCAGGATGTGGACAAGGTAAGTTGAGTTTAGGTATTCCTCAAACATTATTCACACCCATATTATAAATCTAAAGACAGCAGCCACCGCGGGAACCAGTTTCCGTTCCACCAACTCCTCGGCCACCACCAATGCAGATTCTGCCTTTGGCAGTCCACATGCATCCAGGGCTCTGAACAAACCATCCGTGGCAACTGAAACTGCTGCTGCTCCTCCTGGAGCTACTGCCCAAGTGTGTGGAACTCGCTGTCGGAGTACCTGCAACATAATGGTGTCCGCTGTGGCAGATTTTCTGCCCCAAGAAGCAGGAACCGGGACAGTCAATGAACCCTTTGTTTACCACAGCAAAGTGAGAGCCCAGCAGCTAAGGGATGCCTTCTCGCAAACGAGCGATACAGAGGAGCATTCAGCTAAGAAGCGGCCAGCTTATGAGCAACGAAGGGCCACTACCGAAGCACTGATGAATTTTGCCAGCAAGCGGCAGGCGGAGGAGGCTAACACTTATGTGGTGAGTTAAATATGATTAGTATCTCTTCTTACACTTTCTAACCAATTAAAATCCTCAGCCAACCTACTCGCCCACGCCCACGACGCCCTCGTCTACATTTAAATCGGCTTCGATGTCAAGGATACCACCGCTAGCTGGAAACTTAAGCCAAGGAGCTGTACCCAGAATACCAAACTTGGGAGAGAAGAAACCTCGCACTGTTCACATTGATGTTTACTGCACGGGTTCAGAGGGAGATGAGGAAGAGGAGGCGGATGATGAGAGGCAGGCAGATGAAGAGGCCTCTAGCTCCTCCGATTCCGAGTTGGCTGGCAGCAAGCGCTACGAACTGGACTCGAATTCAACCCCGCAAACAGTCCTTGATAATGAACAGATGCTGCTGCGCCATCAAAGAATCTCTGGGGGAGCTATGCCCCGGCGTTTGGCTCAAAATCAGGCGAAGAATCAAGTAGGAAACCAACAACAAGACGATTTAAATCTGGGTCATGCCATTACAAAATGCAGCACAGCCGAGGAAGTGTGCGAGTCCAAGCAGTTGCTATTCCGCAAACACATTGGCGATCAGCGGGCGGCCAAGTTGGCTAATCTGCGCCAGAAATATATGCGCCAGCCCAGCGATGAGACCATCAGTAGTACTTACCCCAACTCCTCGAGATCTACGATGCCAAGGGATGCCACGTGCAGCAGCATTTCCAGTGTCATGGGTGGAACCGATTGCGTGGATTCCTCGTGGAAAGAAACCGAGGAACTGGATACGCCGTTAGAGTCATTTGGTTTGGCCAAATCCGATAGCTTTGAGTATGAGAACTCGCTTGATCGCCTGCGAATTAGCCAGATGGAGCGTCTTTGGTCCCGCCAGCACTCGTTGGACCAGAGTCACATGCAAACCCACCTGGGAGCACCATCACCACATCCCCTGCAAACAATTACGGAGGTGCAGTCGCAACGTAGTTCGTTCCAACGCAGCGATACCATCCCCTCGGAATCAGATGGCTTTTCGGATGCCAATGGATTTAATACCTATCCAGGGAGGCAATCGCAGTTGCAGCAGATATCGCATTTCCCGCGTAATCGTCCTGGTTTTCTGCAGTTCTTTGGACCCACTGGCGGACCAGTTGGTGTTACTCAACCAACGCCGCCAGCCACGGCACCCGTTCAACCCGCTGCGGCCACTACGGATCCGTTTCGCCTTCTCCATCCGAGCTTCCGATGGAAGAGCGAGGCGCGCGACAACCTTAGCGTGCAGGTGGCATCCGGATCGCCTTCCTCGGAACGTAGCTCCCCGCAACTCTTGTCGGCTGCAACCACAGTGGTGCGTTGCGGCAGTGAGGCGCCACCGAGCACCACTTCGGCCAGTACTTTTGGGAACACAGTGACGCCTTCGCCGCTGCCAGCGCGTCGTTTCGAAATTTCACGTGACAGCCCAAGCCTTGCAAGTGAAACTTCCACTTCCGTTTCCGGTTACACTCACGAGCATTTGGAGAAGGCTCGCCGCTTTGGCAGCGTGGTGGCCATGAGAAAGCCGGGCCATCATGTAGGTCCCACCAAGAATCCGAATTGCCTGTGTGAAAGCTGCCAACGTTGGTTGGCTGAAAGGTTTCAACTTCGCGGTAGAGCCTTCTCTCTGGGCGAAAAGCCCTTAATCAGGCGACCACAATAATATAAACATAATGGAACCCTTTTTGATTTATTTTTCTTTGTCTAAGGCTTGCATTTAACATATTGCTTTTCAGATTGTCATTGTCCTAATTAACCCAAACCTGAACCCACACCATTTTTCTTTCGATTAGTTGTAAGCCATGTAAGCGAATGTTCCTCACACAGAAACACAAGTTGTGCGCTGAATCAATGTAATGTTGTAATAAAGTAAAACAATAGTTTTAAATACAAAATTATCTTTTATTTTGGTGGTTAAAGTATCAATTCATACCTATAAAATTTGTACATATTTTTTAAAACGCTCATAGGTAACTTAGCATTGGGCTTTTCTATAAGTCTATAAAAATGTAATTTATTTATTTATAAAATTCTATTTTTAAATACCCTTAAAAAAATGAATCATAAAGAATTGACAGTTTTATTCCCCAAGTATATAAAAAGAAAGGAACGTTTGACTAGAATTTAAACGGAAAATTTTAAATGTTAAGAAAAATTTATGTCTAAATAGATTTTTTTGTACAGGTAATTTTCTTTTGCAAGTTTTATTGGGGGAAATTTTATTAATAATTCATAATATTAACAACAAAATACTAATTACTTTTAATTTTAACCAGGCTCATGGACGTTTGTCGGAATCGTCGCGAAAACTAGATCTCTTGCGTTACTCATTGGAGCTGCGTCGCCAGGAGCTGCCCGTCGACTCGCCCGCCGCCCAGGTATTAAAAACGGAGCTGCAGATCGTCCAGCAATCGACATCCCCAGCTCCCGTCACCTACACGTCACTGCAAACCGGACAGGGAGGAATGCTGGGTGGAAAGCCATACCAGTCGGTATCCTCGCTCGGACGCTGCGCCAGTGTCACCGGAAAACTAGAGGTTCGCCTACTGGGCTGCCAAGATCTACTGGAAGATGTGCCCGGCAGGTCACGAAGGGACAAGGATAACAACTCCAGTCCAGGTGATTTGAGGAGCTTCGTCAAGGGCGTCACCTCGCGCAGCAGTTCAAAGAGCTATTCGGTTAAGGATGAGACCTCCATCGAGATCATGGCGGCCATTAAGCTGGACAACATTACCGTGGGCCAGACATCGTGGAAGCCATGTTCGCAGCAGGCCTGGGATCAGCGCTTCTCCATCGATCTAGATCGCTCGCGTGAACTGGAAATTGGAGTTTACTGGCGCGACTGGCGATCCCTGTGTGCCGTGAAGGTGCTGCGCCTGGAGGAGTTCATCGACGATGTGCGACACGGCATGGCACTGCAGCTGGAGCCGCAGGGTCTGCTCTTTGCGGAGGTCAAATTCTTGAACCCCATGATTTCGCAGAAGCCGAAACTGCGGCGGCAGCGCATGATCTTCAATAGGCAGCAGGCCAAGAACATCTCGCGGGCCAAGCAGATGAACATCAATGTGGCCACCTGGGGCCGTCTGCTCAAGCGGAATGCGCCGAATCATGTCCACATGGGATCTGTCGGATCGGGATCTTCCATAACAGGTGCCTCTCCCATGGTGGTCAGTGGGTCTCGGGATTCGGAGTCGCCAATTTCGAGGACGCCTTCATCTGATGCCCTCGTGGAACCAGAACCATATACACCAGGAGAACAGGCCCAGAACCTGGAATTCGATCCGGATGCGGGAATGCACGAGCATGTGGAGACGCCGGGTGAATATCCGGATCCGGCAGCCAGCGGTCTGAGTGGAATGCGTCCCCTTTCCATGCAAATGCAGGGAATCAGTGTCCTGCCCCCGGATTCGCCACCCGTTGCCACGGGAGCAGCCGGAAGGCCCAATACGCTCAGCATACAGATGCCGGGAGCCAGTAAGGGGCAGGTGATCCAAGGCGGACGCACAGCAGCACCCACAACGGCGCCACCACCACCACCCGTTCTCAAGTCCACATCCACCACGCCGATTCTGGATCAGGAGGTAAGTCGTGCATTCATTTTACGAGGAGATCCGTGTACAGTTTAATAGTCAGTATTTGACCCTGTATAAAGATCTGCGTATGTACTTAGCTGTGTACCCGTAGCTGGTTTGATCGTTGTGCCTGCCACCTGCTCCTCTGCCCACTCTCTCATGTATCTATTTACCCACCCATTGACACATGCACACACACACACACTCAATCTGTACAGTCATCACATTGGGGCATTTGGTGCTGGTTTTGTATTATATATCGCTCTAATTTGTACATTTGGAACGGCAGCCGAACTCCATACAGAACCATCATCGATCGTGGAAACTGGCAGAAAAAAGTTTACAAAATTTGAAGGCTTAAGAATGGATTGTCCTCAGTTTATTATCATGACCTTGGTTTTTTAGCTTACGTCTTAGTCTGCTTTGGATTATATTTAGTACCTAAAATATAAGCTTTCAAACTTATCCAAGTTTTTTTGAGAGTTGATTACTTTGAAATCATTTAGGTAAACTTGGACATTGAATTAAAATATATTTTTAACTGTTAAGCAACACCTTATAAAATTCATTTTTACTATAAGGATTGAGAGCTTTTAAAAATTAAATTTGTTATTATTTTAAGTATTATGAAGAACTTTTCCCACTTCGTAAGCTGTATCATTTATAAAACAGGTCATGATAATAAGGAACAAAGGAACTAAACTACATTGATACAGCCTTGCTTCAAAAATTTCCGGAAATTCGTTTACGCTTAAGCTTTTTCTAAGCCGCCGCTCTTTGAGTTTCACCCCATTCATCCCATCAACGTCATTTTCTTTCGCTATTTCTATATCTTCTCCCCGAGAAAATTACTTTCTTTCCTTTAGACTTGATTATCCTTTTCACCCACTCTTTTCATATGTCTATATCCTTTGCATCGCGCTTTATGTGGCCCGGCGTCATCCTTCTCTCTATCTCTGTCTCTGTGTGTTTGTGTGCCCGTCTCGGTTTCCGTTTCCGTTTCGTCATGATTTCGTTAATCGCCGACAGCTGCAGGATGCCCTGCACGAATTCGATTTCCTCTCGGACATGGACTCGCGTCCCACCACGCTGCGTCGCCTGCTGAAGGAGCAGCACATGTCGCTGGATCCGGGTGCGCTGGAGAATCTGCTGCTGCAACAGCAGCAAACCGAGCAGCAGGCACTGCAGCAGCGCCAGCGCCAGGAGCAGCTGCGACTGCAGCAGTTCCAGGAGGCGCAGCGTCAGGCGATTTTGGATCTGTGCGAGAAACAGAGAGAGCCAGAGGAGCAGCAACTACCACCCACCTTTGTCCACCCAACGCCGCCGTTGCCACCGCTTGCCAGCAATCAGATCATACCAAGCTCAAGTGTCCAACCCAGCCAAAGCCCAAGCCCAAACCACAACCAATTTCAGTTGCAGCAGCAGCAGCAGTCACATCCCGCCCAGAAACCGATAAATACCGAACCACCGTCCGCTGTGGAACAGCAACTGCACCGACCTGTCTTGATCCTGCCGCCTGTGGTGCTGCTGGGTGGACGGGAGGAGGACCGATCGGTGCCACCATCGCCACTAGTCGAGTATCCCGAGGACGATGACGAGTACCTGTACCGGGGCAGCAATGATAACCTGGGCGGCCGGCTGCACTCCAACCACAGCTCCAGTGCCGGCGATCGTTTCTGTGTGGAGGTTAGGAGGTTTTTCTTTTCCTGGTTTGGTTTCCGGTTTAATCTCTGTTCTCGAATTCTGATTTATTTCCTTTTTTAATTATTTTTTTCACTAACCCCAGTTTCTTTTGATTTTCTTACATCTTTTGTTTTGTTTTTGACACGAGTTGGGTTAATTGTTTCTTCTTTAAATGTCTGTGTGTGTTTCTGGTGTGGCTTTGTCAAAAACAACCCTTTTGAAGCCACAAAAATTTGTGTATAAACATTTAATTCATAAACACACACATACGCACCGTAATCAAAACGCATTCACAAGCACCCAAAAAAACTAACATAATCGTAGTAGAACTAACTCTGAACTAAAAGTTGAGCTTTGAATGTTGCTAACAGTTTATTAAACAATGTTTAAAATATATAAATTGGTTTGTGCAATTTTTTGAAATTGCCACAACACTTAGTTTAATGTAGATAAATATTTTGTTTACAAAGACAAAATTACCTGAGAGCTTTAATTGTTATAAAATGTTGCTATTGGCATAAATGTAAACTGCACAGCTTAGTTTGATGTAGAAATAGTATATAATTCTTTTTTATATTCTAAACGACTTGAGAGCTTTAAATACGGTCTTTAATTTAATGTACCCCATTTTATGGCCAAATATAAAATTTCGATTAGAAAGCGACAAACAAATATAATCGAAGCAAACTGAAATGAAAGCTAAAAGTGACAATTTTAAACTCTTTAAATAGACGCGTTTCTGGCGAATGACAACGGAAAGATCAGAGGAAAGAAATGGGGGTGTATTATAGGGGAACGGGGTTTAGAGGGGGCACCCGAAAGTGCGCCACTTCACGTGCCAATGGTCGGGAAATGTTTTAATTTTTGTCACCCACACCCATCTCTCGTTTTCCCGCCCCCTCACGTTGCAACGTCAGCGTTCCACATTTCCATTTTCATCTAAGATGTTTGTCCCTGTGTACGCTTACCTTTGTATCTATGTGTCCAAGCTACATACATATGTACCCATCGTTATGTGCGCTGTTGTCACATTTTCCTTTTGGTTGGTAATTTTTAGACCCAAAACAACGACGCAAATTCTTGGCCTCTGGTCATGACTTTGGCACTTGTTCGCCTTCAGTTGGCCGGCGCGGTTTTAGCCATCTCGCCCGAGTATCGTATCGGTATCGATCGAAATGTAGGAGCGTCATGATTGTGCCAACTTTCCATGCGCTCGGTCAAGTCTTGAGGCAGATGTTTGCGGTCCAACTCCAACAGCAACAACAGCAGCACCACACTCATAATCAGCTCCATTACCTTGATTTGTCCCCCTCGCGAACCATCAACAAACTGTTACTGTGTCCCTGCGCATCCAATCCTGTACCACCCGCTGTATGTGTGTTTCTTGGGTTCAATCAAATCGCCCCGATCAATCAATCAAACTATGAAGAAACATCCTCTTGCAGGCCCGTATTAGTCTTGTACATATTACCCTCGAACCGATCAATGCCAGCCGGACGACCAGTTGCCTGATCGAGGAGGTGGCCGAGCCGGATTCACAGCCGGAGATAAAACCGGTGGCAGAAGTGCAGTCTGAAAAAGTATCCGAAGCTTGTGTCGAAAGTATTCTCCTCGAGACGGTTGAAAAGTTAGAAACAGAAGACCCATTTCAGCAGGTAACGCAGGAAAATAAGTGAAAGGATTCACAAAGCTCTCAAGTTGTAGCCACTAATAGTATTTTTAAAATTACCTACTCTCAACAAAGATTTAAATTTATATTCTTGTGTACCTTAGGTTATACCACAATTGGGCAAGCTCTACGTGGGCAGCGGCCAGCAGCAACAACAGTATGTGCAGCAGTCTTCCCCCATCATCCAGGAGCCACCTACTCCGACTATCTATGGAAACAGTGCGGCCGCTGGTGCTCCACAATTCCCGCAGCCCGCTCAAAGGCAGGAGAAGCAGCAACCACAGCAGCAGCCCATCTATGCCAACCAGTATGAGCTGAATGTGGCCAAGGCGGCGGCAGCGGCTTCAGTTTACTCACCCAGCTCCTCCACCAACAGCAACTCCAATCAGCAGCAGCAGCAACGCAGAAATGTGGCCCGTGGCCTGCAGTATCGAGAATCCGGAGGACTCGAGGCAGGCAGAGCTGGAAAGCAGCCTCCCAATGCGGGCATGCTGTCGATGGACAACTTCCGTTTGCTGAGCGTCTTGGGACGCGGACACTTTGGCAAGGTGATCCTTTCGCAATTGCGAAGCAACAACCAGTACTATGCCATCAAGGCGCTAAAGAAGGGTGACATCATCGCCCGCGACGAGGTTGAGTCGTTGCTCAGCGAAAAGCGCATATTCGAGGTGGCCAATGCCATGCGCCATCCCTTCTTAGTCAACTTGTATTCGTGCTTCCAGACTGATGTAAGTATTGCAACCTCACAGTCTATAAAATTCTGAAATCTTAACCATCTTATTCCTTTTAGCAACACGTATGCTTTGTGATGGAGTACGCAGCCGGTGGAGATTTGATGATGCACATCCATACGGACGTGTTCCTAGAACCGAGAGCCGTGTTCTATGCCGCCTGTGTAGTACTGGGTCTGCAGTATCTGCACGAGAACAAGATCATCTACCGCGACCTGAAGCTGGACAACCTATTGTTGGACACAGATGGCTATGTAAAGATTGCCGATTTTGGTCTGTGCAAAGAGGGCATGGGTTTCGGCGATCGCACTGGTACTTTTTGTGGCACGCCCGAGTTTCTGGCACCCGAAGTGCTCACGGAAACTTCGTACACACGAGCTGTGGATTGGTGGGGTCTGGGTGTTCTGATCTTTGAGATGTTGGTTGGTGAGGTGAGTCGGAAATATAAAATGTAAGTAACTCAATTCATAACTAAATCAATTCTTTATAGTCACCATTCCCTGGCGACGATGAGGAAGAAGTTTTCGATTCAATTGTCAACGATGAGGTGCGCTATCCGCGTTTCCTTTCACTCGAGGCCATAGCCGTAATGCGTAGGGTAAGTTCATTGATTGGAAAACTATCTATTTGAAAAGAGAATAATATATTTGAATACCTTTCAGCTACTGCGGAAGAATCCAGAAAGACGTCTGGGATCCTCGGAACGGGATGCGGAGGATGTTAAGAAGCAAGCATTCTTCCGTTCGATTGTGTGGGATGATCTGCTCTTGCGAAAGGTCAAGCCACCATTCGTGCCCACCATTGTAAGTAGAAAAATAAAATATGGAACCACAATTGTATAAGACAAAATGGCTTATAATTACTTTACAGAACCACCTGGAGGATGTATCGAACTTTGACGAGGAGTTCACGTCGGAGAAGGCGCAGTTAACGCCGCCAAAAGAGCCACGCCACCTGTCCGAAGACGAGCAGGTGCTCTTCCAGGACTTTTCCTACACGGCAGAATGGTGTTAGGCACTTGTTGTTAGTTCAAGGGTTCACCAATGGGCCTAGCCCGATCGTTATAGCCTTTGTCTTTTGCTTTTACTTGTGTACGAAGTTGGTTTCGAGTAATTTTACTTGGTTTAGTCGATGTGAGTTCAATATTTATAGTAGAAGGCATCATGATGATGCAGATACAGGACATATATATTTAAAATCTATATCTATATAGAAAATATATCCATTAATGAGAGTACTTTTGAGTGTTGCTCACTGGCCGAAAGACCAATATAAACCAAATTACCTAGTTGTCCACCTTGTGGCAGAGCGAACGCATTTGTCAATCATCAATCCAGCCAGATTAAAATCCCCACTAGGAACCATCCCACATTATCTTAGCATTGTACAGCAAATAGAGCCGTTTCCTTTTCCTAATATGAGAACGCATTGAATAGTCTGACAAACCCTAGGAAAGCCTTAAACGCAAAGTTGTAGTTTTGGACTGTTTTTTTGTAAGACCGGATCTAAATAGATTTTATAGATGAGAAGCAAGTATAAACCCCAAAGCAAACATTGCAACATATTTTCATAATCGACATACAAGAACAAAGGATATATTTTATACATATATTGCATGCACACCCCAGGAATCGTCTTGCTAAACGAGCTCATCTTCTATACCACATATAAATTTTAGTAAAGTGAGAGAAAAGTAAAATATTTACAGTTTTAACATGTAAGCCCTGTAAATTGCCTTGCGCTTTTAATCAACTCCCCAGCCCATTGCCCGAGTTGTGTTATAATTTTAACATATTTTTTACGTCATATACACACGCAAACATTTGTTATTTATTATTATTATACCTATTATACGAGAAACTGTATTGCTTTGAGCATTTTTATTCGACGTTAGATTGATTGATTGTAAATGATTTGTTTGTATGCGCGGTTCGCTTTAAACCAGATACAGATACGAGGATCAAAAACAAAAACCGCTCAACGGGTTGAGTTTCGGAACTCCCGTTGTCAGGTGGCATACAATCGGATTGTTGTAATCTTAATGCTAATCTATTCTATATTTAATGTAACTTTGTAGTTTTATTTAAGCTTGTAATATTCGATTATTGAAACGTACTCTAAGCTATCATTATGTGAAGATAATTATTGATAATTACGATTATGATAACGATTGTGCACCCCTCATGCGAGTCGAAACGAGTATAAACCATACAGATCATCTATCATATATTGTCATTTTTATTATGATTATGCCTACAACTTGGGGCTATTATCGTCGATTTCATTTTAAATCTGTCAGCATGGATTGGTCCGCATCCAGTCACTTTGTTTAGCTTCAAGTTGTGACCGTAATTTATATTTATGATATGATTTTGAATAAATGTATCTATCGCTATACTTAAACGGAGTTTTTGTTAACTGGCTTTTCGCAGAGACCTTGGCTTATTTGATAATACAAAATATTTGCAGTATTATCGACAATGGCCAAATATATGTTACTGTTTGGGAATAAACTAAGTTATTAATCGGAATATGATTTTGGTGATTTGAAAAACTTACATATTTTCCAGTTTTTCTTGCAACGCCTGAAGAATTTTTAAGTCAATTTCCTTTGTGTGTAGAACGGGTACGTAAGCTTTATCTTCCTTAGTTAAATAAAAGACTTTCAGATGTTGATCGTAGTTTACTTGAAAGTCCCCATTTTGTTCTTCTAAAAAAGATATCTCTATTTTTTCTCCTTAAAAATAAAATATGTTTTTCTTTACCATTTCTTAAGTCTTTGTAAATTTGAAAACCCAATGCGGCGGTCAAATCATCAGGGCTTACAGTTTTGAAGTCATTCAATTCCAACTGGAAGGTAAACACATGCATTACAGTTTGAGAGTAACCGGTGATGGGCAATTGCTTACCATGGTTAAAAACTGTAAAATTGTTATGTCAACGTGAATCCTTGGGGAATAAATATTTTTAGCGGTCTACAGTGAGTATTTTACAACTCTATAATAAACGTTTGCCCATAAAATATATTAAGTTTCAGCTGACACATTTTGTTTCACACAAACACCAACAGCTGTTAAGCAGAGTTGTCTACAATAAGCAAAATGATTTTAAAGTTAACAGTGCTGTAAAGTGCTGCATATTTAAAAGTTGGCGCATGTTTTGAATTTATTAAACTACAAATTAAAATACACGAAAATAAGAGGTAAGTACTTTTAATATGGAGACAATGTTATACAATAGAATAATTTGTATATCATGGGAGTGGTAAAAACGTAAAACAAATTGACTTTCTGCTAAATGCCCCATCAAAACATAATCTTTGTATGCAGACATTGTCTTTGTCTAGACAAACTGGAAGTCCTTGCAACTTGGGTCCTTGACAGGCAAATGCCCCCGCCCCAAATTCCAAGATCCAAAACTCCCAAACTCTGTAAACGAAGACACGAAAGGGGCAACAAATTATGCTAAGTAGATGCAGTTGGCCGGAGAAGGAGCCGCAGGATATGCATGCAGAGCAGTTTTCAAGCCATTTTCCGGAGTTTCCCCAGCTACTTTCCGTCTGACGGCTGCTGTGGGTCCAAGTGATAAGGGTTTGGCAGCCGTATCCAAGGGATTTCCACATGTGCATATCAATGGGCGTCTGCGATAAGCAACTTATGCTTACTGAAATATGGAGAACAGCATCCGCAGACCCATGCAAATCACAGTTGTACTTCCGCAAACAACCAGCATTCATTTTTAAATTTTCAGAAAAATATTTAAGTATTTTAACAGACTTTAAAGAAATTGTAGCTATTTTATAAAAATCTTTTATTGATAATGAGGTATTGACAATTCCAGAGAATCTTGTGTTACAAAAATAAATAATGAAAAAGTCAAAAAATTATATAATTTTACATGATTATTTTTAAAAGTATAATTTTATCAGTATCCTTAATTCTGATTCATAAGAGAACGATACAACAATTAGACATTTGAAATGTTTAAATTTTGTACTGTAGTTAGAGTTTTAGTGTTGAATTAAAAAAGGTTTCTTGAATATGAATTGAAAATCACTAAAACTATATATTTTCCAAAAAAGCCTACTTAGCGAGTTCCGACTGTAGTTTGGAGTTTGAGGCCGAGGCTCAGCCAGGATGCCAAGGATATTCAATTAGGCTGCTCGATGGGGGCAGTGTGTACCTGGAAATCAATGCGAGGGAGCAAAGTTGCTGCGTCTCCAGCAAACTGGCAACATAAACCAGATGTTGCGGTCGATGGCCATTATGGAGCTTGTCAATGCCAGTTGGCCAGAAGGAGCGGGCATGGGCAAGTCATCCAAGGCAATTACACTGCGACGACAAGGACACCGAAGGCAATTGCTACAATAACACACACACACACACACACACATTCACCCCGCTGTGCGTGAGGTTACTTAATGCTGTTTACTGGCCAAAGTTCGTCCTGCCATTGGCCACCAGCCGGAACTTGTTTGAGCCCGGGAGTTGGCCACAATATTATTTGCACTGGCTGGGTTTTATTCTCGCCATAACCATTGCTCCACGGCAAATGGCCCATTGGGGCATTTATGGCCAAGTTCCATGCGTTCGGGCTACTCTCCCCTGCCATTTTCATTCAATTGCTTTATCTGCTTGGCTTCTCGGTTAGCTTTAATTAAAAATGCTTTCATAAACTAATAAAACTATTTTCTATCAGTTTAGAAAAAAATTATTGAAATGAAAAAAAAGCATTAGCCCAATCTGAAAAATACCTGAAAGTTTCTGCACTAAAAAAGGAAAGATATTAAATGGCATCAGATACTACAAACCATTTTTTAGTAAACTCCTAGAATGAGTTAACGGCTTTTAATTGCTGAATGAAGCAAGTTCAAAAATATACAATAATTCAAATATTACTTAAAACATTAAATTTTTAACCAACAAAAAAAAGGAGCGTCGCTTACTTTTAATTGTAATGCCTTCATTAATTAGAAAACAAAATTAACCTGAGAAGAGGAGAAAGGAAAAGTACGTTTTTGTTATTTTTATTATCGTTCATTACAAAGGCGAAAAAAAGCTTAATTGCAATGCACCGAGTTTGGCAACCTTTGCTCCCTTTTACCGTGTGAAAATGTATTCCGTTGACCTGTTTATTTTTTTGGCTCCTTTTTGCATTCGGAAAAGCGTTTTTTGTCCGAAGAGTGGGGAATTCCCCGCTGGCAGTTGATCAGCCATCAGAGAGCCCATTGTTGTGGCTCGTTGCTGCCACTTAACGTATTTGCCACACATTCAGCTCGCTCTACACCTGTTATTCCCGCACTGACCTCCGACCTCTGACCTCTGGACCGCTGATGACCGGCGGATGCAGGAGTTGCAGGAAATGGCTTCAGCGGGAGCCACCGGGGGAGTTTTAATTGACCAAACTGCCACTACACCTGTGGGATCAATTGAGATTTATTGCTTGGTCGTGTCAGTTGTGTTTTGGTTTTCACCCCGGCAACTGCCCTCTGCGCATTTTACTCTGCCATTAGTTAGTTATTTAATTTGCAGTGGGAATTTCCATCTGGCATTTCTGATTTGCCCACTGACCCGGCTCGTTAAGCATTTTTGGGGTAAACAAACCGACAGCTGCCAATGTCATTTGCAATTCAATGCGAATATGCCCTAATTACGAATGAAAACTGGGGAAGCTTTCAAGAACTTTTTGCCACCACAATTTTCCCTTAGATGATGATGATGCGGGATTTGTGTAAGCCAAATATTTGTATCAAGACTGGTTCCGCTCCCCCACAAAATAATTTGTAGCTGCGATTTCCCCAGATTATATTCGTGTTGGTCCGCTCTTTAATGACATTTTGAGCGTCTTAATGACTTAATGGCCTTTCGGTCGTCAAAACGCTTTTGCCGCATCATTGGCAATGCAATTAACTCGAGCATTTTGCTGGTCGCCGGTTTTTTGTGTGCGGTAATTAGTTGGCAACTTCCTCGCTGTCTTTTCCGTTTGTCTGTGGGAGTCCTGTAATGGTTTTTGCCTCTGACTGCGCGCGAAAATTCATTAAAACTCGATAATTGCATGACAAGACAAGATCCCGGAACTTGGCCATCGAGTGCGAATCCTTGTTTATCCCTTCGCTCGGTATCTGGCAAATGGCGTAAAAAAGCAATTGATTTACTTGCAATTGATAATTGTTTGCTGTTCAATGCACTGAAAAAATACTCTTAGGGACCTGTTCTTAATTTAATTAATTCAAATTAGGTTGTTTTTTCAATATCAACATCCAAGAACAAAAATACGATTAATTCCTAGGCTAAGCATGACCTAAAAAATTCAAATTGGAGTAGAAAATAATTTTTAAATAATGCTGGGATTAAAATAAATCTTGTAGCTAAGCATTATACTCACGTTTAAGAGTTTTCAAAAATTATTTTACAACTTTTAGGCCATTTTAAAGATTAATTTTTGGTTATAAACAGCCGAAAATATCATGGCGCTCTTTTTAGGTAATTTTTTCTTTAAGTCAATCTTGAAGTGAAGAATATATTAATCAATTTATTAACCCACAATTATAACACCTTAGAATAGCTTATTTTCCCCATTCAAAATAAACAGCACTTCTTTGGTTTAAACTAACATAAATATTTAATGCTTGATTTCGTCTTTTATCCATTAATTTCTTGCCAAAGCCAGTTAGTAATTGCCTTAATTAAATAATTAAATCTGAAGAATGCAACTGAAATTCAGCAAATATTTTAATTTACCAAAAATCTGCGAACCATCCAGGTGCAGGCACTTTCATTTGCACCCAGGCAAAACATCAGTTATTAGCCTTCGGCTTGTCAGTAGCAAATCGAAATACCAGAAATGTAATTTCAGCCTGCGGTTGCTGGCCAGCAAATTGAATTTTGCTGTAAAGACCGACGTGGCTGAAGGCAGGATAAACATGCTAAACGTATAAATTTTCAGCCTGATTGCATTCCAAACTTTTGGGTGGGCCGGGTAGCTATGCCAGAAATTATACAGAAAAGATAATGCTGCTGCACAATTGGATTTCCAGCTGAGCAGGGAGAATGCAGCACACAAACATTCATTTTCCACTCGACTTGAGTTGAGCGCGTTTCGCATTTCGCATTTCAGCAAAATTTCAATGCGACAGACAACAGAGACCCAGACGGCATTGTTACGGTTTTGGCCAGGACCTTAACTTGAACATCCAATGAGTGACATTTATCCTGCGAGGGGAACCAGGACCTGGACCTGGACCAGGACCAACATTGCTGGAGCATTCATTTGCGTAATTAGTGGCCAAGTGGCATCCGCAACCTGGTTGCCAGTTGGCATTTAGCTCCAGCCGCAGCACAAGTGCTTTGAAATCACCGCAACTGCTGCTTGATTATTGGCCAAAAGGAAAAGGCCAGCAGACAGCGAACGTCGGCACAATTGATAGCATACCTTTCTGGGCAGAAGCAGGTAGATAATTGGAAATGAATGCGATCCGGGTGGGTCCATTGCAGTCAGATTTAACCTCTTCTTTATCTGCAGGATAAGTTACTTGTATTAATCGGACTTGTAGGTATTGTGCAATATCCAAACTAATACAATTTTCGTTCCAAAATTTTAATGAATTGTAAACTTTTCTAGCTTTTATAAATATCATATTATAGACCTTATTTTTCTCTGTTAGACATAGTTACCATTTCGTTAAAATTGGAAATGATTTTTTTTGTTGCTTACGACATTTGCTTCTTTAAAAAGATATAGCTTAAAGATATAACTTCGTTCAAGTTTTGGAATAATACTAAATTTAGAAATTCTTTTATTAAGATTTAAAAGTGTTTAAGTACTTAAATTTTTACCAAAACATTTTTAAAGAAAATTATGTTTCGACCTTTTGGAATAATACAAAACCTAAAAATTCTTTTATTAACATTTTTAAGTGTTTAAGTACTTAAATTGTTTACAAAACATTTTTAAGGAAAATTAATTTTCAACCTTATACATCGTTCAATTTGTAACCCAGTTTTTTAGTCATTTAGAGTGTCCAACTTGGTTTGCGCATCGAAATCGTAATTGATTTGCTGTGATTGATTCACTGCCGGAGTAAGAATGTTATCTGGCGGCATTAGGAAAGTATAATTAAATTAGTTTTAAACTGGAAAGTAACTTAATCAGCGTGGCAAGCAAGCGGAAAACTTCATTTGTAGCTGGCCACAAGGGGCGAGGAGGCGGGAGGATAAGGGGTGGGAAAAAGAAAATCTACGTGAGAGTTACAAGGGCACGCACACAAGCACACGGAAAAGCGAAAGCGGCAAGAGAGGAAAAGCGGAAAAGAGGAAAAATAGCAACAGCAACTAAGCAAAACATGGGCCAAACCAAAACAAAAACACACGATTTGCCGGCAAAATGCACGTGACATCCTTAGGGGAGTTTCGTCGAGTGATATCCTTCGTCCTTAATGCCGAATGCAACTGAACGAAGCGGAGCCGAAGCTGCGCAGAATCCAACGAGCGGTATAAAAGCGAGACGCTCGCAGGACTCGGAGCATTCGATTGTCGTCATTTGAAAGGAGAGGTTCTCAACTTTGAAAAAGGATAATACCGTAAAGGACTGAAAACAAAAGTGAAACTTTAAAGCCAAAAAAACAAAAAAAAAAAAAAAAACGAACACACAGACGCACTCGTTGCATATAATTTTGTGCGAGTGTGGGTGACTGCTTGCGAGTGTATTGAGCCAGAGTGTCTTTGTGTGCGTCGTTGGCCAAGTGGATTTCTATTTTTGCTTCATTGAAAGCCAGCTCGTGAAGTGCAGTGGTGTCATATTAAACTCGAGAAGACTTTACGAATATCTTGAAAACATTAAACGACCAAAATTTGGGCAATTGCATTCTGATCCTTGGACATGTGGAGCAGGCAGCGTATGCGCCATAAGCCGCTTTGGGCCCTAATATCCTTGACCGTTTTGCTGCTGGTCCTGGACAAAAGCAATGCCAACACGGAGCCCGTTGAGACCAGCACCACATCCGAGCCAGGTGAGTCCTAATTGCCCTGCCCGCACACGTGTGCCTCCGTTTGACCTTCGCCCCCTGGCCAAACGAAAATGGTAAATAAATTATGACAGGCCTCAAGCTCGGTTACACCGATGCTGATGCCAATGCCGATGCCTGATGCCCAATGCCCAGGCACTTTATTAAATGGCTTTCCATGCCTGCCCAGCGATTATCACACACGCACAAGTCGGGAAACAACAAAAAAAATAAATCCAAAAGAAAAGCAAAACCGGAGTAGAAATGAATCCGAAACAGGAAGGGAAATTGCAGAGCGCAAGAGCAAATAACTGGCAGCAAATGAAATATTTCACGGCATCTGCGGCACAAAGGCAATCAAAACGAACCGAGAACCCATGGGCAACCTTAATCCCAATCAGAATCAACAAACAAGCAAGGGCAGCGCGAAAAGCCAGGGCCACTGCGGAAAAAACCTTCATAAAAAATCATGAACGAAATTATGAATTCTTGATCTAATGATAATGAGAACATTTTCGTTGGGAAAAATATTAAGGTTTTATTATTTATTTGACTGGAATCCTTAGTGCCATTGCTCTTGTATAATCAAGAATTTAAAGAGAGGTTTTTGAAACAATAATTCACATTTTTGAAAGTATGCTATACATTTCATTCCTAATAGGGAAAAAAGGGCTTTAATCATTCCTAATAGGGAAAAAAGGGCTTTAATTTTTTATTAATGTTAGTATTGTTAAAATTATATTTTTTCTCCATTATGAACATGTCATTTTGTTCTTATAATTTTTGTTTAAGAATTACGTTTTATTATTACATCTAATTTTATTCTTATATTTCTAGTTTGCACTTTAAGAGTTAATTTTTTTACAATGGTTGAACATTCTTAAAATTGATTTAAAAAAAATTCCAATTACATATTCCAAGGACATTTTAATTCATAATATAGACACAAAGAACTTGTCGTTTTATTTTCTCTAAATAATACATTTTAAGTCATCTAGACTTTTCGAAAATAGCTTATAGAATATATGATTACTTAAATTAGAATTTTGTGATTACTAAAATTACTTTGGTGATAAGTGATTTTTGTTATGGTGTTGATTGAGTTTTTGTGGTGCAAATGAAAATGGATTTAAAAAGCATCTCCAATATTTAATGAAAATTGCTAGCTGAGTAGATTTTTTGAAAGTCTTCATATCTCTAATGATTTATCCCTAAGATCGCCATCTATATTTTTCTCATCCTTTTTTTCCAGTGTTAAAAGGCATAACAAATGAAAGGTAGCTCGAGCCAAAGGCAATTGCACGAAAGCTCGTAATGAAGTATGGCAGGCCGTCTGAGGCTGGTAATAGAAATTAATAGCGTCATGTGTGAGTTTTGCGAGAGGGAGGGAAAAAAGTGGTCGGGGGAATGGGAGAGGACATGGGGTAAAGGATAAAGGATACACGGGGAAGTGTAAAGTGCCCTACGACGACACGCAGATGCGCATAAAGTAATTAATTCACTTTGGCCTCCATCGCCAGTCCATCCCTCCGCTTGCCCTCTAATTTCCCCTAGCATTTCGACAGGGCCAGCTGTTGAGCTTTTGGGGTTTTAGCCTTCACTCAGCCAAACTAAAAGGACGACGCAATTTTTTTTTGTGTGCCAGCTATTGCGACTTCTTTTTTGGTTGTAGTTCCACTTTTTTTTTTATTTTGCGCAGTTTTTGGCAGTCAGGGGAGGGGTGGGAAAAAAAACCTTGTGCAGTTTCAATTTCCAGCAATTTAAACATTTGCTCGACACACATAAAAGCGAGTGGAATTTAATTTACATGACTCACAAATGGAATCCATTTAATGTTGACTTATGGCAGCGAAAGAGTAGGACATAGAAGCACTGATGAAATATGCAATAACCGATGTAGAAACTAAAACTGACAGCCCAACCGAGCTCCCTTTCACCCATTTTTCTTGTCCTGCCCCATAAATCCTGGGACCCCAGGATAGATGATGATGTTGCACAGTCACACAGATAGGCAAACACTTCGAAAATATGAGTATTCATTAACTGATAATGAAAAATAGAAGCTTAAATCGTTTTAATGGGTCCTTTAAAACCCGTTTTAATTAGAAATGGTAGAGTAAATAATAATCTGATTTTAATGAAAATGTGTCTCTGTTTTGAGCAATAAATAGGTTTCTATTTCTATATTTTATTGCTCTAATATGGAATATTTACTTACTTACTTTCACTAAGTTTTTTTGAGGAACTAAGAGGATTTCTGCATTTAAAGCTGAAAGGAAAAACTTGCACTAGGCAAATAAAAAACTCCAGAATTGATCTTTAAAGTGGCCACTATTTTTTCAGTGCACACACTCGTGCTTTTCGCCAGCCCATGGTCACATGTCTCTTTGCCACATTTTATGTGCTTAGAACAAAGCTGAATCTGCATTATGCATGCAAATGGTATAACCGAGTAACGAACTGTCAAAATCGCAGTTAAGGCAAAAGGAAGTCAGTGAGAAAGAAGCCGAAGAAGCAAAACCAAATGACAAAAAGTCGCCAGTGCATTATGCATTTGCATTCCTATATATATATATACATGTACATGTGTGAGCCAAAAGACAGAGATAACTTGACTTTTCCTGGGCTCCCTCAAAAATGAGAAGAGGAAATGGCTGAGAGCTCCCACTGTGTTGGGAAATGGGAGTTGGAATGGTAATAGCCATAGGTATAGGGATAAAAGAGAACTGCTTTTGCCCGCCAGTGCATGAATGATTTATAGGACGGCAGCTGTCGAGATGCCAACGATTATCGGCCATAAGCCAGTCACAGCGACATTTTTACACCCCAGAAAAGAAAGGAGTCTTTGGATAGAGGCATTCTACATTGCATTTTATGAGTAACAGAGTTCCTGGAATAAATCCTTTCCCTTAAGGCTGAGTCACTTTCTTCTCACAAGCTTCACTTTAATTTTGTTCTGAGTTCGCAGAGTTATCCCCGTTTGAAACACTATTTCCTTGGGATCGATAATTGGCAGAACATGGAAATGCTTCAGGAGAACCACCATCAGTGTTTTCATCTCCTGCATGGCATACTTTTGACCTGCAAAAAGAAAGTGTTAGTTTAGTAACAAAGTTATGGGAAACAGTTAGAGAGATTTCCTCTTACCAATACAATTTCTCTGGCCAGCACTGAATGGAATGTAGGCGTAGGTGTGACGATTCTGGCAATTTTCGGGCAGGAATCTCTCCGGACGGAATTCATCAGGGGAATCCCAGTACTTGGGGTTTCGATGGATGTCAAACACATGAATGACAATCTGGGAGCCCTTTGGCAGAATAAGACCATTGGCCAGCTCCGTTTCCCGATTGGTTTCCCGACCCATATCGGGAACAGAAGGAAATAGACGCATGGTTTCTTTAATAAAGTATTCCAGGTATTTGAGCTTATTTAGGTGACTGATGTCCAAGTTTCTTAACTCATCTGAAAGGGTTTAAAGGGTTACAAATGTTAGTATCTTATTGATATCCTCACATACCATCTATATGCTCCTGAATCTCCTGGTAGACTATTTCTTGCTTGTCAGGATTCAGAGACATGTTCATCAGACCAAATATAAGCCCAATTGAGGTGGTATCGTATCCCTCGAACATTAGGGTGTCCACCTCCTCACAAATGCCAGTGTGATCGATTAGGCCATCCTTTTCAGCGTAAATCAAGGTATCCAGCATGGCAAATCGCTTCTTTGGGATGAATCTAAAATACTCGGTACCATTATTATAATTGACTTTCAAACAAAAAATATTCTTACTCATCATCGTCAGCAGTCTGAGTGGCTTCTCCGTTGTCCAACTCATCTTTCAGCAAAACTCTTCGCTTGGCAATAATCTCACTAGAAAATCCATGTACCACATCGAGCGCAGAAGCATAATCCTTGGCAGCAAACATATTGAACAGTGAATCGCTCCACAAAAGTGGGTTTGTCATTCGACGAATAAAACATTCTTCAATCTGTCTGAAGTTCTCCCTGTAGCGATCGCCCTTCTCGGCCATCTCATCTAGTTTAACACCCATGGCCGTCTCTATAGATACGATTACCGAAATTGATAACTAAAATAAATCATTTACAAATATTTAATTGCTAACCCACCACAAATACTGTTCAAAGTAAATCTGGGTATAACATCGTTCAATGAGATGATTGCCTCATCTTGACCCTTAAATTGCTGTAGAAACTTAAGGCTCTCCGTTCTAAAAAAGAAGATAAGGTAGATTCTTCTTTATCATGTAGCTTAAATTGTTTCAACTCACTTGAAAACCTCCTGAAACTGATTCAATATATTAAAATGGAACGTTGGGGTAAGCATCTTACGCCGTGAATGCCATTTCTTTCCTATAATGTATGAGAAAATAGAAAAACAGAGAGCAAAGAGAGATCCAAACTCACCAGTCGATGTCAATAAACCAGTCTTCAAAAATGGGTGCAGTAAATTGTAAAATATTCCCTTATTTATCAAATTCGGATCGTTAAGAACATTTTCCGCGTTTTCCGCATCGATAATATTATAAATCGACGTTCCCATTCCATATTCCACATAGTTCTCACCCAATTGTTTTGCCAAATTACGAGAGTGATTGAATACACCAGCTGAGAAATAACATTTAAATACAGACAGAGAGATAGATAAGCTTTGGGAATACAAATTTGTATAAGTAACTCACAGTGATCTACCCCGTATAAATCGAAGCTGTTGGCAAATATGGTAGTGCCCTTGACTAAGGGAGCTACGCTTTCTAAGGGCTTCCCATCCTTTGTTCGAATTCTCTTGGCGAAGAAGCCAAGAACACAGTAATCCTTGTTGATTCTATAAAGCCAGCACAGAAGTGCACTAAAAGCTCCGACCAACAACAAGACTATCATTTTGGCACAACAGCAGCCACCGACTTCTCTCGCAAAACTGAACTAAGCGATCATTATCAGCCGGTTTTAAACACAACAATTACCGGTATACATCTGAAACTGATTAGATTGTATCTTATGTATGTACATGTGTTTGAATGTGTCTAGCTGTGCTAGAGCTATCAAATTATATTGTCTGTGCTTTGTAGTCTCAATGAATGCTTAGAAAAAATTGTATTCCTCTATCAACCAGTTTATTTATAAGTATACAATACAAAGCGGTGGTATTTAGTATTAAAAAATTCCAAACAAAAATATGGTACATAAATTTACCTAGTGCTTGATATGTTTTTAATAATAGCTTTGCAAGCTATGTCACGGTCAATTTATGTTCTATAATATAAATGTTAGAACGAGCTATGTACAAATGTATATAATCTCCCGAAATGGCTTAGCACTTTGTTTATGTCCGCCTCACTAGCTTTACGTGAATCTTGTTTTGGGTGCGCAGAGTTATTCCCGTGTGAAAGACAATGTCCTTTGGATCGATTGCTGGCAGTATCTTGAATTGCTTTAGAAGAACCACCATCAATGTTTTCATCTCTTGCATGGCATACTTTTGACCTACAAAAAAGAAATGTAAATTCAGTATAAAGGTTTTTGTAGAAAATGTAGTGAGATATTCTCTTACCAATACAATTTCTTTGGCCAGCACTGAATGGAATGTAGGCGTAGGTATGACGGTTCTGGGAATTTTCGGGTAGAAATCTCTCTGGTCGGAACTCATTCGGAGAGTCCCAGTACTTGGCATTGCGATGAATGTCAAACACATGAATGGTTATCTGAGAAGCCTTTGGCAGGATCAGACCATTGGCCAATTCCGTTTCCTGAACGGCTTCACGTCCCATAATGGGAACCGAGGGATATAAGCGCATGGTTTCCTTCATAAAGTACTCCAGGTATTTCAGCTTATTCAATTGACCCACGTCCAAGTTACTCAAGTCATCTAAAAGAGGTTAAATGATGAGAACTAGCTTATTGCGAGCATATATCAACTAACCATCTATGTGCTCCTGGATCTCCTGGAAGACTATTTCTTGTTTATCAGGATTCAGAGACATGTTCATCAGGCCAAATATAAGACCAATTGAGGTGGTATCGTAGCCCTCGAACATGAGGGTATCCACCTCCTCACAAATGCCAATGTGATCGATGAGGCCATCTTTTTCAGCGCAAATCAAGGTGTCCAGCATGGCGAATCGCTTCTTTGTGATAAACCTGTGGTTAACACGTAATATTAAATATGATTAGATCCTGCTTAAAAAGCTTTCTTACACATCATCGTCAGCAGTTTGGGTGGCTCGTCTGTTGTCCAGCTCTCCCTCCAGCAAAACTCTCCGCTTGGCAATAATCTCGCTGGAAAATCCATGCACCACATCAAGGGCTGAAGCATAATCCTTGGCAGCAAACATGTTAAACAGGGAATCGCCCCACAAAAGTGGGTTACTCAAACGTCGAATGAAACATTCTTCAATCTGGCTGAAGTTTTCCCTGTAGCGATCGCCCTTCTCGGCCATTTCATCAAGCTTAACACCCATGGCCGTCTCTGTAGATATGGTCAATAAATTTTATATTGTTCATTTAAAGCCAATTAAATTTGGTGTTATTTGCATACTCACCACAAATACTGTTTAGAGTAAATCTTGGTATAACGTCATGCAATGATATGGTTACCTCATCTTGACCCTTAAACTGTTGTAAAAACTTAAGACTCTCCGTTCTAAAAACAGGAAATTTAATTAGGTATTATTAAAGTGTTATTTTATATTTCGGGAACTCACTTGAAGATCTCTTGGAACTGATTTAATATATTGAAATGAAATGTTGGGGTGAGCATCTTGCGACGTGCATGCCATTTCTTTCCTAAAATTTGAAATGATGAAAGAAACCAAGCAGCAAATTAAATAGGAAACTCACCAGTCGATGTCAACAGGCCAGTCCTCAAAAATGGATGAAGAAAGTTGTAGACCAGTCCCTTGGTTATCAAATTCGGGTGATTTAATACATTTTCCGCACTATCCGCGTCAATAATGTTGTAAATGGACGTTCCAAAGGCATATTCAATGTAGCTAGTACCCATTTTTTTAGCGCGATCACGCGAGTGATTAAATACACCAGCTAAATACACTCATTAAAGTATATTTTGCTATTTGATAAACTAATTGATGCCAAAGTTCGGCGATTACTATTACTCACCGTGGTCTCTGCCGTACAAGTCGAAGGTGTTGGCGAATATGGTTCTACCTTTGGGTATGGGAGCTATGCTCTCCACAGGTGCTCCATCCTTAGTACGAATTCTTCTGGAGAAGAAGGACAGAATGTAGTAGTCCTTGTTGACTTTGTAGAGCCAGTGCAGCAGCACACTTAAAGCAACGATCAGCCACAAGAGTATCATTGTTGCACAACCGCCTCAACTGAATTCTCCCACGAAACTGATCATACCGACCGCAATTATCTATCTAGGGGAGCTTTTACTATCAGGCAACAATTACACTTATAAAAAGCTGAAGCGATTAGATTGCCCCTAAAAAACATTAATATTCACGCTTCGCTAGCAGCGATTTGTAGTCGAGTTCACCTAATAATAGCTTAACTTTTAGTTTCAATAGACGAGTGAAACGCTCTTTCATTTGACTATCCAATAAACCGGTTCAACAACTGAGTATATTACATTGTTGTCATTGAAAGAATATCTGCTGCATAAACGAATAACTATTTATTTTAAGCATTAAGATAACAAAGTCTTGTAAATTTGTATGGCTTAGTCTTAATATTAATAAATGCCATTGAAAAGTCAGGGTCAATAAATGATAATAGATGAGTACTAAACTTTGAGATGATTCATCTAAGCCTCTAAAATCGATATCCACTAGTCGCATTTCCGCCTCACAAGCTTGACTTTTATTTTATTTTTAAACCGCAGGGTTATACCCGTTTGAAAGACAATGGACTTGGGATCGATAACTGGCAGAATCTTGAACTGCTTGAGAATGACGACAATCAGTGTTTTCATCTCCTGCATGGCGTATTTCTGACCTATGTGGGTGATAGATAAGATGTAGAAGCGGCCATTTCCAACATATTTTCACTTACCAATGCAGTTTCTTTGTCCAGCACTGAATGGAATGTAGGCGTAAGTATGCCTCTTCTGGCAATTCTCGGGCAGGAATCTTTCCGGGCGGAATTCATCAGGGGAATCCCAGTACTTGGGGTTGCGATGGATGTCGAAGACATGCAAATTGATCTGAGAACCCTTTGGCAGAATTAAGCCATTCTCAAGCTCGGTTTCCTGGATTGTTTGACGACCCATAATGGGAATTGAGGGATAAAGACGCATGGTTTCTTTTAAAAAATAGTTGAGGTGCGTTAGTTTGTTCAATTGGCCAAGATTCAGGTTGCTCAGGTCATCTGGAAAGGATCCGAAATTAGAATTTACTATTCTCCTAAATATATTAATGATTAAACTTACCCTCAATGTGCTCCTGGATCTCCTGGAAGCAAAGTTCCTGATGTTCAGCATAAAGTGACATATTCATAAGGCCAAACACCAGCCCAATATAGGTTGTATCATAACCTTCAGCCATCAAAGTGTCCACCTCCTCACAAATGCCAATATGGTTGATGAGGCCATCTTTCTCAGCGCAAATCAAGGTGTCCAGCATGGCAAAACGTTTCTTCCTCGAAACACATCTGATCAAGGGAAAATAAAGGTAATCAGTGGTAAAAAGATATTTCGAAATAAGCTCACATATCATCGTCAGCCGTTTGAGTGGCGCGTCTATACTTGAGTTCTTCTTCCAAGAGAACCCTACGTTTGGCGATAATCTCGCTGGAAAACTCGTGAACTACTTTTAGGGCTGAGGCATAATCTCGGGCTGCAAACAGGTTGTATACGCAATCATCCCAATAGAGGGGATTGCTTAGTCGCCTAGTGAAGCCCTCGTCGATTCGATTGAAGTTCTCTCGGTAGCGATCCCCTTTCTCGGCCATCTCATCCAACTTAACGCCCATGGCAGTTTCTAATAAAGAGATTGCCGTTTGCATTATGGTTTTTAACAAATAATTGATATTCAAGTACCACAAATGCTGTTCAGTGTAAAAATAGATATACGATCTCTTAGCGTGACAACGCACTCGTTTTGGCCCTCGAAATGGTGAACGAACTTCAGGCTCTCTGCTCTAAATTTTTAAAATAAAGTTAAAGGTAATTATTATTGTTATGGAAATTACTCACATAAAGATCTCTTGAAACTGGTTTAATATGTCCAAATGAAAAGTCCTAGCGAGCATACTCCGTCGCGTGTGCCATTTCTTTTCTATAATATAAGATTTTATAAAAGGGAGAACCTCTAATATATATTGCGATCTCACCTGTCGCTGTCAGAACACCAGTCCTTAGAAATGGATGTAGGAAATTGTATATATAGCTTTTTGTTATCAGATTCGGATGGTTCAGAATGTTCCCAGCATTGTGAGCATCAGTTACGTTGTAAATAGAAAAGCCCATGCCATATTGAAGATAGCTGTTGTCGTAAGTCTTCGCCAACTTGCGCAAGTGGCTGAAAACCTCGACTAATTTGGCCAATAAAACAGGGATTGATTAAGTATGATTAAGATAAGGAACCTTATGTCAAGGTACAACAACTGCTCACCGGCGTCTTTTCCGAATATATCGAAGCAGTTGGCACAGAAGGTACGGCCCTTGGCAATGGGAACTATGCTCTCCGGGGGTTTCCCATCCTTGGTTCGAACCCTCCGGGCGAAACAGCCGAGAACGCTGTAGTCTTTGTTTACCTTATAGAGCCAGTGGACGAGCACACTTATGGCGACGGAAAGCCACAGAAGGCAAATCATAGCTGTCGATGTGAATCGGTTGGCCTCACATTCAGCACTGTTTGGATTTTCGATTTTCAGCTTTCGAGCTTTTTATTATCAACCGGCTTTACAACGCGGAGCACCCGACTACTACTGATTAGATTCTGCTCTAAAAACTTGTTTTTCTTTATGCTTTTATTTTTCGTTCGCTCAGCTGGGCGATATCACCCAATGAGTTTTATTTGTGAAGACTAATTTAAATCTCATCATAATAACACGAGTCACCCAAGTTATCGGTAAAATTTTAAGTCTTTTTTTTTAGTGTTTTTTTTTTAATTATTTTAAATTGGTTACAGTAATTGGATATATCTGCGCATTGGAGGTATTGGATCAATAAGGATGCATCAAGTCAGGACTTAGATTCACTTTAAATCTAAACCAACACTTTAACTCCAGTTCGCTTAGCTTGTCACTATGTTATGAATCTATTTGGATGTATATATATTTATATTTAATACCTTTAAATAGAGTAACAAGCAGAATCAAATACAAGTTATAGGTATAGCACTTGTCAAGAAAAATTATATACCTGGATATGGAAACTATGTTTTCAGATTTTTAGAGAAACAAACCACAATTATTTAGAATTATTACAAAAAATCGACTCACAAATACAAACCAAGATTTTAACACAGATTTTAAAAGAAATTCATCCACAATCATTTAGAAGTATAATACTTTGAATTCGGATTTCTTTAAGATAGTTATGGGCTCCGAAGTTCAGGTTTTTGGACCTTTTTTTGCTAAGCCATTTTTCATTAAAATGACGAAAAATCGACCCAAAAATGCAAACCAAGATTTGAACACAGATTTTTAGAGAATTAATCCACAATCATTTAGAGGTATGCCACTTTGAATTGGGATGTCTGTAAGAAAAGATATGGGCTTCGAAGTTCAGGTTTGTGGTCACTTTTCTGCAAAGCCATTTTCTAAAAATTTGGAAAGGGGTTAGCTCATTAAAATGACTAAAAATCGACCCAAAAATACAAACCAAGATTTGAACACAGATTTTTAGAGAATTAATCCACAATCATTTAGAGGTATGCCACTTTGAATTGGGATGTCTGTAAGAAAAGTTATGGGCTTCGAAGTTCAGGTTTTTGGTCACTTTTCTGCAAAGCTATTTTCTAAAAATTTGGAAAGGGGTTAGCTCATTAAAATGACGAAAAATCGACCCAAAATAACAAACCAAGATTTAAACACAGATTTTTAGAAAATTAATCCACAATCATTTAGAGGTATGCCACTTTGAATTGGGATGTAAGTAAGAAAAGTTATCATTATCATTTAGTAGAAACCCTTTTATTTTAATATAGGGTCGGAAATGTGCTATTCACTGCGTTATAAACTTTTGACTGAATTTTTAATATCCTCTGCAAGAGTATAAATATTTGTGATGAGGGTTTTTCCTTGTATTTACCAGTTTTAATCAACTAAGTGCCGATGCCCGATGGTCATGGCTCCACTTTTCTTTGCCACTCTGTTGAATTTACATCAACAGCTAATTGGCGATAGAATTTCATCAATTACAAAGAATGCAGTGATTTCATTACTATAGTACTATAGATTGTTGACCTACTTTCTGCCAAAGAACATGACACATTAAGGAACAAAAGAAAAGTCGAAAGGGAGAGTAGAGCTGGGAAAACTTTAATTCAGCCCTCGGCGATAACGAAAAGCTGACTAGAGATGGAAATGGCGAAAAATGCTGCCACGACTTCTGCCCTCCTTTGCAACTGCCTTAAATCCTGGTTCTGGTTCTGATTCTGATTCTGACTCTGTTTCTGCTTGAGTTCGTTCTGCCTTCCACCTCTCTGATGTAAAATTGAAACTTGAACTGTGCGTTTGTGGCACGACCTTCCTCCTTCCTGAACGCCCATTCCGCCCCATGATTACTTGCCTGCATGCCAAATGCATATTGGAAATTTGCAATTTCGATGGCACTCAACGTCGGGCGACGTCAAGTGGAAAGTTCTTCCCAGCCAGGCCAAGTTATTAAATTAGATCATATATGAAATATTTATGGCAAGAGTTCGAGGCAGACTTGAAATTGCATTACCTCCAACCAAGCCACAATCTTGGAGACTAAGTTTTGGTAAATCTTCACTGAGGCAAAAATCGATTAATTTACGTGTTTTAGCCTGTTTTGTACGGTTATTTGAACCATATATACATATTTGCTCTTCAGTTTTATTAAATATTCCCTTAATAAGCTACTAAAAATCAAGTTTAAGAAATCCATTGGCATGAAAAATAAAATAGCTTGTTTTAAAAAAAATGTATAGGTACTTTATGTAATGATAGAAAGGCAGTTTGTTAATAAATAATAAAGTGAGGACCAATATATAAAGATTAAAATATTTTTAAAATTTAATAGACCCCTGAATTAATAAGCAAAAATAAACTTAATAAACATGTTATAATTTTGTTGTAAAGTTCGAGTATTACAACAATAGTAAAAGAAAAAAATTTGTCTTCTTTGAATTATTAAATTTTGGTTATTTTTAAAATTAACTACTTTTAAAAAGAAAACTAATTACTTATGAGATAATTATTATTTTATTTTTATTATATTTATATAAAAACACAATAAAACCCTGCAGACTTTTTAAACCGTTTTTGTTGTTGTAATTTGTGTAAGATTTTTCTAAGTGCTCTTATTTTCCATTTTCCATTATCCATCCGCAGATGCCTCACCGGGCTGTCGGGCGCCGGATGTGCGCTTCACGATTGTGAAGCCGGAAGCGACGACGGAGCAGCCGCTGGCCAAGTTCGAGACCACGCAGGTCTACCTGCCGGAGGACTTCACCACGGCGGATGTGGAGTTCGTGGACTCGGTGCCGCGCCATCCCAACGAGAATCATGCGGCCGTAATCAATCCGTATTCCCTGGATCTGGGTGACGACCATCTGCATGTGGGCGATGCCGCAGCCAGTTACGTTGGCGACGATGATCTGGGTGACGAGGATGAGGATCTGCATGGTGACCCGGAGGACAAGCGCTTGAATGCCAATCGCAAGCAGGGCAAAAGACGACGAGCCGGCTCGGGCCGTAGGCGTAGGATTGAAAACGAGAATGGCCAGACGGGCAGGGGGCGTGGCAGTCGATACAAGCGCCATGCCATCCTCCATGATGCGGAAGCCTCACCGGATACGGATCGCTGGGCGGGCAGCAAACTGGCAGCCGAGGGCGATGTCTACTATGTGCACATAGCCGACATCCTCAAGAGTCGTGAACCGAATCGGGAATTGAAGTCAAAACTGCACAAGCTCAAGATGAAGGCTAGGTTGAACAAATGTCTGGCGGAGGGTGGCAAGGAAAAGTGCACCAAGCTCACCAAGAAGAAGCCAAAGAAGAAGGTGGCCAAGGAGGAGCATTCCCTAAAGAAGGAGAAGAAGCTTCTCGATGAGAAGCAAGCTCTAAAGAACAAGAAGGTCCTTGAAGAGGGGCAATCCGCGATGAACGAGGAGCAGCAAGAACTGGACCAGCCGGAGGCCACTGGACATCACCGCCGACGCGGGGACAGTCACGCTGCAGAGCTCGACCAGCGTGACCGGAGCCCGCGTTGGCGTCGCCGGCGCAGCACCGAATCCAAGGGCGATCTCGGCCAGCTGCCTGAGGAGTCCGGAATCGGACCGGAACCGGAAACGGATCCCGACGAACTGCAGCAATATGGAAATCAGTCGAGCAGTGCACGAGTGGCCCTGTTGTGGCAACGTGTTAAGCGCAAGTCCGGCAAGACCACGGGTGCACTGAGCCGTCCGAAGGGTGGTGGCGACTCCAGCTCCAAGACCACCAGCCGCAAGGACAAGGGTGAGTGTGCGTCCGCACGGCGGCCAGACACTGGCAATGCCACAGTGTCCAATGCCTTGATTGAATTTGCCGCCGCTGTCGCTGTCTCGTTGTCTGTCTGTCCGTCCGTGTCGCGCTGCCCGATCGCACACAGATACAGATCCCACAGAGGGGGTGCGACTACCGCCCCGAAATGCCCTTGCAAAGGTTAAAGGTCGCGAAGTGACAGTATCTCCCCAGTTGTCCGTTTCAGCCATGGTGCTTTTAACTGTAGGGTATTATGAAAGGCAATTGAATAAATGTTTTTTGAAAGGAGTATCTTCCGTTCTTAACAATGCTAAGCTTATTCATGGGTGGATCCCAGGGCAGTTCAATCCCCCACTTGATCGAAGAATGAAAGAAAATGTGGTAATAAAAAGGGTTATTAAAAGCCCCCTAATCTGATTCAACTATTTAAGGTTCATTTACAGCATTGGGTATTATGCTTAAAACCATTTTCAGTCCTAAGAATACTGTTCTGAGAATACGGTTTTTCATTGCCAGTGATTATAATTATCTAGGTATTATCTATCCCAAGTTTAAAAAAACCAAAATACCTTCGTATTCAATTTTATGGAATATGTATATAGATACAAATATTGCGCATACCTCACCAAAATAATACGTATACGCCTAGTAAACACTAGAACCTTGTTTAAAATTAATTATACGCCCCGTGCCAACTCAAACTCCCAGTCGGTTGGCCACTAATTTCAGCGCTTCATCATGCTTGCCAGCTTTATAACGTAGCTAAATTTTGACAATGTCTAGCGGCAAATATTGAAAGCGCTTTTGCAAGGGCATTTCAACCAACAGAAGCACACATGAGTACACACGAACACCCGAACACCCGAACATTAACGGAAGTTGGGAGCAGAGGACACACCAAACATACTCGTAAAAGCTAATCGCAGTCACAGCCAAAGCCACAGCCATCGCGTCGCATCGTATCGCATCCATAGCCATGGCCATATCCATAGCTCATCCCCCAGCTAAATTCACACCTGCACCGGGCACCATGTGCACCTGTATTTTCCACCCTCTATGACGGCCTTTCATTACCCCCTTTTTCGCCATCGGTGCTGCGTGGTCATGGTTTATTTGCCAGTCCATATCTTTGTCGTGGTTAGAGTTCAGAGTTGAGAGTTGTCCGTTGCCGGTTGGCCCTTTGTTCTGGCCGGAATGATTTTCCTTTTGGCTCCTTT